TATTATGAATTATTATGTTTGTATTATGGTGCATAATATACATGAAAAATTCACTTATTACACCAAAATTTTCAAATACGGTATTATCCTTGAAGTTGGCGTGTACGCCGGGGGGAGAAGGGGAGAGGTAAAGGAGAGTGGGGAGTAGGTTTTTTAAACACTTGCAACTGCAAAACTGCGCAGTTAAGCAATTGCATGTGAAGTTGAACACTTACAAGTAATACAGTGGCGAATGGCTTGACAGTGTACAGGAAATTCAGCCCTGCACATAGCAGCCGTATAAATCACCTATTGCGCGGCTAGATGTTTAACTGCATGTGAATGCTGCGAAACTAAATTAAAAACTAAACCTTTAAATGATCTAGATTTTCAGCAGAAAAAACACATTAAATAGGGGTCACGGTGGGCATGAGGGTGGGAGTCCGCATCAGCTCAAAATGGTTACAAAATTATAGCTTTTGGTTTTTGCTGGCAGATTATGAAAAAATATTGGATATTATGAAGTATTATGCGTATTATGAGAGTAATATGGAGTATTATGATTCTATTATGATGGTATTATAGGGTACTATGAGGTATTATGCAGTATTATGATGTACTATGGGTATTATGGGTATTATGAAGTATTATAGTGGTATTATGGGACCGTGTACGGAGTATTATACGAGTTGGCGACCCCTCGGTTCTGGCAGGTCGTCTGTTTGGAGGCGTTCCTTTGCTCCGTGACCCCGAGTTCCACACAAATAGCACTTGGACCTGCGATTTGGGTTTTTCTTCTTTTTCTTTTAGGTCGCAGGATTTGATGCCGGATTCAGGGGCTCAAGTCGGTCCTTAACTGAGGCTCTGGCTAGGGTCTCTGGCGTCGCTGCTGCGCTCGCAGAGCCCTCGGTTTCAGCTTCAGGCCGCGGGCGGGCACCAGCACCTCCCTGTCGGTGGTCTGGTCGGCGGGAATCGGACCCAGCCGATCCAGAGCCTGACTGAAGTGGTGGAGATCTCGCTCTCGTTTGAAGGAGATCGCGATTTTCTTTTGTAGTTTACGCTGATGATGGACTTCAGCTGCTTCGGGGACGGGAGCGGGATGGACCGCTCCCCGTCACCCTTGGGTGGGGCTGAAGCCGGCCGCTTTGGGGCTGCGGGCTGCGGCCTTGGGTCTTCGCGCCACTTTGGTGCTCCTGGAGCGACTTTGCGCAGCGCGCGGTGGTGAGCCCGGTGGAGTGCGGGGTCCACGCCGCGGGCTACGGCAGCGAGAGCGCCTGGGTGCAGGCGCACGGCGGGCACGCCGGTCAGAACTGGAGCGCCGTTTGGGCACGCCAGCAGCGCCAGTCTTTTGCCGGTTGTGGCATCGGGAGCATAGGAGATTTCTTGGTGTCGGCCCCGTCCCCGAGCCACCGGATTACCCGCACTAGGAACAGACGCAAGTGCGGCGCAGCTCAGGGCGGCGGCCTTCCAGAGCTTTGCATGGTAATGTGTTTGTTACCACAACTTGGTTCCTACCGTTTTGTTTATTGCTAAGACTATTTATTTATTCTTAGGTTCTGGTTTTAATTCTTGCAACCTCTGCAAGGAGAAAAAGGAAGGTCCTGTTTGTATGACAGACTGTGGGCATTTTTACACACAATGATTGTCTTGATTCGAGTGCTTCAAACCTCTGCTCTGTTTGTGGTCGAGCATTTCAGAAGACAATTCCGTTTTTTGGGTAGTTTTCTCGTTGATAGTTCTACGTTCTGACATGTTGAATTTTATTTCAAATATGCATTTTGGCACTTACAATTAATTGAGTTGAGATAATGAAATTCACATAATAAAAATTATGATTAAGACATTCTTGATAGTTTGGTCTTTCCTCTTTTAACCGAAAGGGAACCTGAAGCTTGAATGAATGCCAATTGACACATATTTTCTGTGTGAAG